GGACAATTGTCACAGCAATGCAGAGGCGCTGAAGCCAGGCGGATAGTTGAATCCATTGAGTGACCAGCACAATCACAGATACCCTTCAGAGGAGACCCCGTCGCCGTTTGTAATCACTCACACTCAGGGTTAAAGCATGCCTCCTCCCATCGTTGTCAGGCACTTTGTACCCCATTGTAGCTTCTATCTTCTGCCTCCTTGCCATGTAACCATCGAACAGGCCCTTGGCTCCACCAAATTCTTGCAGAGCAGACAATGATATAGGAAGCTCAAATGTATGCAGCACATTTGATTCTGTTCCCAGATCCACTGGTGCATTGGTATCGATGAGCTTCCCGGCGTCAGCTGCTGCCACTTGAGCTGCTGTTGTGGCTGCTGTACCAGTTTGAGCCTTGCTCTCCAAATCTTCATTGCTAGGCACTACATTGCTACTGGACCCGTTGGCAGTTTCTTCAGCATTATCTCCTCCTGGCTTCGATGCATAATAGTTTCTTGATCTTGTCCACCTCCTTGAGAAAGGGTCATATCCAGCCTCTCCTGCCTTCAAAGATGTATTTACAGGTTTCTGTTCTGAAGCATTCTTGAAGTTATCAGCACGGTTCTTCCGGTTCATAGCCTCCAACTTTGCAGCCTTATCGTCTTTAGACACTGGCTGTGGCCCGTTTTGCAGATTTTTCAGCTTCGCACGAATCCTCTCTGCTTCAGCTTCATTCCTACGGCTCAGAGCCATCTCCAACTCACTCCTCAACCGATCCTTCTCAGCAGCAACATTGATAGGGCGTCTCACAGCTGATTTCTCTTTCAGCATCTGCTGTACAGTTTGTGCTGAATACACAAAGTTATAGGCCTCCTGAATGGCTTCTTTCTTATCCAGCACTTCCTGACGAGTCGGTATACGCGCACCATTCTTCTCAGCCTCTTGCAGCCATTCCTTGAACTCTTCTTCGTTGGGTGGGGAGTCTGATACCTGAGTCATCTGCCACCGCGCAGCATCAGCCTCACTACCCCAGACAACATTGAGATATTTGCATGTCGTGTAGCTCTCAAGTCTGTACTTCCGATCCGGATCGCTTGCATCCACATTCCTCACTATGCACAGCCTGTATCTCGGGTTCCCAGACTTTGTCTTGCCAATACCTAGCCGCACAAAACACCCAGAAATTAGATCATCAAAGAATGGTTCCATGAACCATTTCACCAGCTTTGACCTCCTGAGGGTAATACTCTTCACATCATCAAACTTGAGTGGGTCAAGCCTACTCGGCGATTCATCAAATTCATCATCCCTGCCATCATCAGCAATCCTCCCATGGTCATTCAGCCTACCCCTGTTATCACCATCGTTGCTCCCATCACTTGGGGGGCTCCCAGCCCTACGCCTAGTCGGTGAGCCACTATGTGGGAGCAGGACATTGAACCTGTTGCGCGCCTCCGTGTCCTGTTGCCGCATAGTCCGCTTTGCCCGCAGCTCGTCCAGCGCGCTCTTGGCGGCAGATCCAGACTTGTCAGTTCGGGTTGAAGACCGCATCCGGCTTGGCGGCGGGGGTGGGCTGCTGTCCTTTCGCGCACCCACCTTGTCCGTCTTGGACGAGGACGCACGTGCCCGCTGCTTGAGCTTGTAGTCGTCGCGGCGGGCGCCCCGGTCGTGCAGGATCATCTCCCTTTGCAGCTCAGACATGCTCTCTAGACGCTCCTTGTCGTCCTCATCCTTGTATAGGTCACTCCCGACTGAAGGGGCGCTGTCCGAGTCCTCCCCGCCACTCCGGCGCCCATCTTCGTCCTCATCATCCTCGTCCTTCCACCCACCGCCGCCACGCCGGACGCCCTTCTCCGGCTGGTGCCGCTTCTTGAGCGGTACCTGCGAAGGCTTCTTCCTCGAGTAGGTCGGCGCGGCGTCGGAGTCGGAGTCGTCGTCGAAGCCGTCGGAGCCGCTCCCCCCAGAGTTCCACCGCGGGTTGCTCGGACGGGACTGGTTCTTCCCCGTCCGGCCGGCGGCCTGCAGAAGCAGATCATCTAGGTTCGACTTCGGCTTCGACATGGCGAAGCCCGACCCTCCTCCTCGTGCAACCCCTACACAACCAAAACAACCCATAAAAACAAGATCTTTCCACACCTCCAAAATCCTAGATAATAAAACAGGGATCGCCGGTCCGTCCTGGATCTGGGTGAGGAACCACAGCTCGGAACAGCTCCGAGGAGGATGTATAGGACACGCACCTTGAGAGGCAACAGAGGCGTCGGTCGGCGCAGGTAACGATGACGGCTCCCTCCGGGGTATGCGGGCGAAGGCGGCGCAGTTGATCGACGGAGACGCCGCCGGAAGAGGAGAGGAGAAGGGTGCGCCGGCCCTAGCCGCGACGAAGGGGAGAAGACGACGATTATGAGATCAGGGTGGGCCGTGAGGGCATTGGTCTGCTATAGCCAGCGTTGGGCCCGTAGAAAGCCCGGTTGCATCAGGGCCAACCATGTCCACCTGTATAATTTCCTCAAAAAAAAATGTCCACTTGTATAAGGTTCCTACCTCCGTCTAAAAAATGGTAATTCTACGTGCTTTCTTGTTAAATTATCTAAATTTAATCAAATATATAGATAAAAATATTAATATTTATGATATTAAATAAATATTCTATAAAAAATATTTGATGGCAATTCTAATGATACTTATTTAGTATGATAAATATTAGTATATTTTAATATTTAATCATATTTGGCATATTTTGACGTAAACTGTTTTAGAATTGCTCTTTTTTCTTTGAACAGAGAGAGTACTATGGTCCATGGGCATTTGGCAACTCAGTCACATGTTTCTTTGTTTTGGGGAAAAAGCACTATTTACCTTGCTCAACTATTGTGATCATCGATTTCACTCCACGAGCTACAAAATTGGTTTTTTTTACCCCGCTCAACTTTTGAAATTGCATCTTGGGTGGTTTTTTTTATGTGGGGCCACATAAAAGGAAGGTACATCAAACTAAGTTTAAAGTTTAGGGAGGTTAATTGGACAAAAAAATTGTTTAAAAAATATCAAAAATATTAAAATATTTTTTTTAAATCTATATGAATACTTTTACATGAAAAAATAATGTAATTAAAAGTCCTAAAATACGGTTTAATCTTATATAATTTGTTTTACCTCAAAAAATTGTGAAACTAGTTTCAGAATTTGTTTTCTAAAATAATGCTCTATTTTACGGTGTCTAGCTTAAAATTGCTTGAATCTTAGACTCATTTTGGTGCTTATTTGCTAGTAGAAGCTCTCATTCTCCATTATAATTAGTCAATGTTGATCAACATCAACAAGTAAACATTAGGGCCTGAGGAGGTCATAGAGCTGCGCATGAGCGCTAGATTGGCTCAACCAAGAGAGATTGAAGAAGACAAAGAAGTAATAAATGATGAAGAAATAAAGCTTGAGTCTCATCAAGATGAAGTTGTCATAGTTGGTTATAAGCAGGAGCAAGAAATAGAGAATGATGATTGATCTTGATGCCTTAGAGGCACTCCATTCTCATGATATCAATTTATCATTTATTAGTTTATCGATTTATTGTGCACGCAACATGCTTAAGAACTTTAGCCTTTCACATTTTGTTGTTAGGATGTGACCTTTGACTCTTTGAGCCTTTGACTTTGAGAACCATCAGCCTGTTCGGTCAGGCCAGTAAACGATCGTTGATTATTTACTACTGGCTGGTTTGGTGTAAGAGAAAAATAATGTTCTAGCTTATAATCCACAAACGTATACGAGCAAGCGACACATGCTGCATTTATTTGCGCTATGCTGACGATGATATGTGTATATGACTCTTATTTGTGTAAGGGCTTGTTTGGATGTACTCAAATTTATGTCAATCCACGTGTGTATTTGAGTAGATTGGGGTAGAACTTAAAACTATTTTCCACTTTGAACTACTTCAATACACATATACTGAGGTGGATACGAGTTCATCCAAACAAGGCCTGATGTGCTTGTGGCATGTCTTGTGAGAACTTATGTGTCAAAGTGTGAACTATGCATGGTCTAGTTATCTACTTATTATCGATATTTATTATTTTATTTGAACTAGTAAATTTGCCCGTGCGTTGCTAAGGGTCAAAGAAATCCATGATATATTTTTTTATCTGGAATCGTACCCATACGTTACAACGAAAACCGATACATCTTGGAGTCGGACTCCGCGCCATTGCTCCTAGACACGATTTATTTTAATTTTTATTGGCACACGTCTTGAGTAAGAGTCATGTCTAGGATTGAATTTATATACATGTACAATTTCAGTTTATATTTGATTCGATAACAAACTGCTCACGTTTTCTGTTTTGCAATGGTCATTTAGCACTTTTTCTAGTCAAGTTTGAACTGTAGCTATTTTTCGAATTAAACAAGTACAAAAATGAAAATGGTCTATATAAACATTTTGACATAGTACAAAAATAATCTAGCTTCTTCCAATTGTCGGGTCAATCAAATTGATGGCTACTTGACTTGACAATAATGGTATTTCAGCTTTCTTCGCTTTGCCGCAACTTCTATTTTGCACGTCTCTTCTGCAGTTCCGTTTCCGTGCATAAACCCAAAACTATCGTTTCAGCCAGATACGACTCTTTTCGTTCTCCAGTTACCAGGTCATAAGAATTCATAAATGATAAATATCCGTGTCTTGAGAAACAGTTGAGATGTACGTACACGTCATCGTGCAAATCCAATCCTCCCCGACCCGAGCAATCGAGCCACCAGCGTCCAAGAAATCGAGAATCCTCGTTTCCCAATTCCCAGTTCCCATTTTGTGGCTGCCTGGCTGGCGCGAGCGGCGAGCGTGCAGCGTCAGACATTACCGGACGGACGCTTTTCTATCCCAAGCCTATCTATTTATCGACTCGCCCGCCGCACTACGCTTCCACTCCACCGCTGCGCTTCGTGATAGCTGCTGCTACTAGCCTACTACTACTGCAGCTCGCCTCTCTTTACTCCCGCCGCCGCCCCCGATCCGAGAGCGAGCATGGCGCACTCCCTCGCCGCCTCCTTCTCGCCGGCCGCCGCCCGGCGCCAGGTCCGCACTTCTTGGACTTCTTCTTGGCTTGACCTCGTAGCTCGTAGCTTGGCCTATAAGGCTGTGTCACTGTTTCTTGAATCTTGATGCGAGGAGCGTACGGCGCCTTCAGTCCATTCGTGCCGTCTGGTTTGTGATTTGTCGGGTTCTTGGGTTGGTTCGCTTAGATGGATGGGTGGATTGATGCCGTAGCCGTAGTTTCCGGTGATGCTGGGGGTGCTTTGTTGGTTTCGATTCGGTTGCATGATTGCGATTAGATTCGAGCTTAACGAACAAAGTTCCCTTGATCTTTAATGGCAAATTTGCCTCTGAATAGTACTTGTTGAGCGCACAATGCTATGGATGCATGACTCACTCTGGTTTTCCTTCAAATCGCTGCAGTAACTTAGAATCATAGTAGTAATTTTGTGACAAATTGACTTTATTAAAGCTTAGATTAGTGTAGAAAACTTGCATGTATTAACTTCTGGGGTAGCACTGAGAGTTTATTACCATCTGTCACGATGGATGATGAACAGATGGTGACAATTTTGCATATTTTAGTGCAACCTGCAAAGATTCCAAAATTGTTGTGACTAAAGAAACCAGCACCGTGCCAGCTGGGTGGTTCATATGGCTTATTTTAAAATGAACCTCTGCTAGTGAAATGTTGCTGGATCCCACAAGGTGCAGGAAAGGTCCAGGGGTGACCCTAGCACAGCAAGTGACAGCACATGCCTCAGATCTTGCTCAAGTTAATTAAGGAGCATTTCTTTACCAGTGCTTTACTTCTGCACATCGATGTTGCTGTGCTAGGCCAATAGAAAATGCCAGCAATCTTGATAGAAGTGTATGCTGCCATGTGTTTTCTTGCTTGATCTGAAGTGTCCTGCATCATGGTCATGGGATCTCAAAACATATAGTTGGGTTCCACACATTTATATCTGGATTTAGACCTGGCTTGAAAAACTTTGTTACATCTTGATCCTTGTCTATTACTGGACTGATCTCCTAGTTTAGGCATTTCAAAATCCCTGGACCAGATCAGTTCCTCAAAAGTTCTGGTGCTAGTTCCTTGCCAGGAAGCAAGGCAGTTGACTTTTTAGAAGTTTTCCCCCCCTCTATAGCTTGTCTATATATATCTATATTTTTCTGAAAAAAAAAACTGGTACAGGCATGTGCAAATAAATATAAAAAACATAATGTTTGAATACCTGAAATAGCAACCAGCTGGCTCTCAGTTTAGGTGAACATACTTCATAGACATCACAGGCTTAAATCATGCTACTAATATAATATGTGTGATGTGTTGGCTTCACTATATTCTCTTGATGTACACATTTTAGTATTTATTTCCGATTTCTAAGGACTTCCCATTCCAAATCTGCTGTTTGGTTTTAATTTCATTGAACATCCAGTACGAGAGTAGGAGCAGGTTTTAACTTTTTTAGAAAAGGGTATTTGCACTACATGCACTATGTCAATCTTGTTTCAGTGTCAATTGCCATTCTCTCATTATTGTACTCTATGTTGTTCTGTGCATATGAACAATCCACTTATGGGGACAATTCTTGGTCCATTTCAGGTGACAAATGTGATTTCCAGCCGGAGCTCGGTTTCCTTCCAGAGCCACAGGATGACTTCTGTATCCATCCGTTCAAGACCAAGTTCTCTTCGGTTTAAGATTTGCTGTTCGGTATGCATCATTTTATTCTTTGTTGCTAGCAACACTTGTTCTGAGATTGTCGGCATGCGCTTACTGTACTGTCGTACGGATGTGAAGTAGTAACATCTTTTTGAAGAGCGATCTGAAATATCATCATTCTCTGGTTTATTGATTAGGCTAAGAAAGAGACAGTTGACAAGGTTTGTAGTATAGTGAAGCAGCAGCTGGCTCTTCCCGATGGGACTGCTCTCACTGGCGAATCAAAATTCGCTGAACTTGGTGCTGATTCACTGGATACGGTAATCCCTCTGTATCAAAATTGACTGTAGCTCCCAAAAAAAATAGCAGCACTTTAACATCGCCAACTTTCTCCTGCAGGTTGAGATTGTGATGGGCCTGGAGGAGGCATTCAACATAACTGTCGACGAAACAAGTGCACAGGACATTGCAACGGTGCAGGATGCCGCGGACCTTATTGAGAAGCTTATGCTGGAGGCACCTCCGAAGGTCGTCTAGATCCGTCAACCTTGTGATCGACGACTTTGCATTCGATCTCTGTTGTATGTTAAATTGTTCATGTTACCCATTTGTTCTTTCTTGATGATTCAAGATGAGATTCTGTATTGATGTTGCTGAGGTAAATTAGAGCTCCAAAGGCTACATGATGCAGATGAAGACAAATGTATTCCACTTTCCATTTGTATGTTGTACTATTATAGAGAAACCAATGAACTGTTATGAAGAGTCACTGCTACTATTGCTTTTGATTTTGGGAAGTCACACACATGAAAGTCTGTATCAGATGCAGTAATTGTTGAGCTTGGGATGCAGATTTGCAAATACCAGGTTGTCAGGTGCTTCCCCATGATATTGTTAACTGCAACCACAAGCTTTAATGAATTTTCAGCTTTGTGGTTGCTCGATAACAACTTGAGTTATAAATCAGATTAAAGACAGGATTAAGAACAAAGTTTCCAATGAGAGAAAACTAGGGCTAATGGAATACATTAAAAATAGTTTTACCCATCTGGGAAATTTTACTGTTACCTATAAAATCATCATGATATCATTACAAAATTTCTACTTTCAGCGAAGAACTGCAGCATCGGTCGCAAATTGTCACGGGAGAACAGTGTCACTCAACTTCCGAAGGATCCAGCACGGAAGGAAGCTTGGAAGGTGACAGTCTGGATTTGAAACAAATGAAATCTACAATTTTCCCCTGAAGAACGCAAACCACTGAAAAGTATAGACAATATAAAAAAAAAGAAAAAGAAAAGAGAGAAAAATGTCATCTTCTACCTCCTTGGCTGCCCTTCTCCTCCATGGCCGCCCCCATTCCCCTTCCCCTCCTTCAAAAGCGCAACTTTTCGTAGCTCTCCCCAACAACCCTACCCGATTCCCGGCCTCCGCCTCCGTCCGGGCCGCCTATCCTCCCCGGTGGCCTCTCCGCGCCGCCGGCGGGGAGCAGGACAGCCGCGTGCAGGAGCTGAGGGTGCCCGATTCTTGGCTGACGCCTGCAGGAGCAGCGCAGGTTCGGTCCCAATTTGGTCTTTTCTCTGAATTTTTCCACCGATTCTTTTCGCAGCCTCGTGGTGGTTGCTATAGCTCCCCTCCAGTTCTTAGGTACTGGTAAACAATCTAGGGTAGTAGTGTTGAACAGACTACGCTCAAGGGGCAGATTGATGCCTCTCACTTCAAACGAAATTTGCAGGGGTTATGTTGTAGGATGATAGTATACCGTCACATCAAACCATCGTGCACGGCTCAGTTCGTGCTGTTCATGTGTCTAGACTCCAGACTTCAGATACCTGTGTGTGTCACTGTGTCTTGGGTTTCTGGCTGCTCACATTTGCCCCCTTATCGGGCCATGTCAATGTCTCTTGGGATGTCTGAATTCACGGTGTGGATGGGGAGAGTCGAAGCTAGAAACCATATGGCCGCATTGCATTAGCATCAGTTGACAGAACTTACTATTTCATTGCACATGCACAATATAACTTTCAGTAACTGAACTCAAGTAGAATGTTGCAGTGCTCATAAGTGAAGGCGTTTATGTGCTTTTCTTTGAATGTTGATGCTTCAAAGTTCAAATCCTTGTTCTGGAGAGGCGCTTATACAACAAAACTTGAATTTTTCTGAACTAAAAGCCTATCGTGCAGTCATGAAACTAACATCCTTTGTGTTTTTTTCTCAAACACACAGAACTAACATGCTTTGTAATAGCACACAAAGGAGAAAAAAAAGGACTATCAATTCCTGTCTGCCTGATCATGGATTATATGGAACTTATGCAGCAAAACTTGGACTTTTTTTTTTCTGAACTAAAAGCCTACCGTGCAGTACCGAAACTAACATGCTTTGTTTTTTTACTCGAACACACAGAACTGACGTGCTTTGTAATAGCACACAAAGGAAAAAAGGAAAGAAAAAAAAAGATTACCTATTCCCGTCTGCCTGATCATCATGGGTTATATGGAACTTAGGCACTGCTACGAATTCAGAATCCCTGAGGAACTTACCTCCATTTTGTGATGATCATCACCAGGAATCTGAATGGCTGAGGGAGACACTACACAAGTGGCTCGACGACGAGTACTGCCCAGAGCCGTCCAACGTGGACATCAGCAGCACCGCTGCGGGGTCGTACCGTGAGTCCCTGATAGCGGGGCAGTCTGACCTGGGAGAGATCTTGCTGAAGATGGTGGGCGACCTGGATAAGCTGTCGTACAAGGAGAGCTTCCATGGCCCCTTCTCGGCCGCCAACGCTGCAGTTCGTTTGATCACTCAGAGGATGGAGGAGTCACTGCCTGATGAATGATGATGGTGTGTGAGCTGCAGTTTTATATGACACGACTGATCCAGTGCGACTGTTCATGGGTGTTGTCGACAGGAAATGTGAAAATAGGCTCGAGACTTCGTTTTTTCTCTGTTGAAATTCGACAATGTACCATTCTGCTATCAGCTTGTGAATTTGCAGATGAAACGAGCGATGAAACGTGAACGAGATGGGTGGACAGTGGACTTAAGGGAGTGTGTAGCCTTTTCTGAAGTTGTTTTGGGTGTGAATTCGCAGTTGATGCACAATTCTGGTCTAAAATAAAAAAGGGTTCAAATCTCTGGTTCTTTTCTTTATGGTGGGGTGATATTTACTAATTTCCATGGGTTCTAACAATTCTTCAGTCTGTGATGGATCTATGCCATAGTCACAAAAAGAGGTTGACGTTTTATAGTATTATGCGTTGCATCTCCAAAACAACTCAAATATTTAAAACTACACTTTTTTTGCAAAAATAAGTCTATGAACCCATATTAAGGGCGTGTTTGGGACTACGCCACGAACTCTGTTTCACAAACTTTACCGTGGAGCAGCTTCACAAAAACCTGAAGTTTGTGAAGCATACTTTATGTGCTCTCACAACTCTACTTTTTTTTTCCCCTTGGAGCGGAGTTGCATGGAGTTAGACTTGTTTGGCTAAAAATATATAGCGGAGCTGAAAAATATGGAGCGAAACAGTCCCAAACATCATCTAAAAACTACAAGAATTATCTCCCCCAAGAGAGCCGCTGGCGTTGGTGGCCATTGGCGGTGTCCATGCTAATAAAAATTGTTTGGCTCCATCCGATCTCTATCGTCTGGCTAGAAATGCCATGGAGTGGGTACAACTCATGTTATCGACTAGCTCCATCCGATCTCTATCGTCTGTCTAGGAATGCCATGAAGTGGGTACAACTCACGTTATCGACCAGTAGTTGGCTAGGAGCTTCCAGGGTACTTTCGTACATCCACGCACCACTATCTTAGCAATTTAGCATGCCCCAGTGGCAAGAATGGCTATGCTAGGAGCTTTCAGGATACATCTACGTGCCACCGTCCTAGCAATTTAGCATGGTCCAATGGCAAGAGTGGCCATCTCCTTGGTGAAGTGTCCATGTGCCACTATCTCATTGGCGCGGGCTCTATACCATGCTAGGAGTGTGCTGTGTGCAGCCTCTTGGTAAAAGGGTGGATTTGGCCTTTCCACTGCCATCTGTTCTGCTTTACTGCTCTCATCACATTATAGCCCTGTTTAGATTCCAAAAAATTTTGTACAGTATCCGTCACATCGAATCTTGCGACACATGCATGGAGTACTAAATATAGACGAAAAAAAACTAATTGCACAGTTGGGTGAGAAATCGCGAGACAAAACTTTCGAACCTAATTAGTCTATAATTAGACATTAATTGTCAAATACAAACGAAAGTGCTACAGTAGCCAAAATCCAAAAGATTTTGGATCTAAACACGCCCTATGTTTTCTTTTCCTCCTCTCCTGGGTTTCAGATTTGGCTGAGCTTTCTTTTGCTTTTTATGTGCCTACATTTTCTTTTGATTTTGATGGCAACCATCACGTTGCCCATCCATTCTACTTCCTTTTGATGAGCAACAATCTCGTTGCCCGTCTAGTCGTGACACTCCCACTTCAGCACGTCAGTCCTCTTAAAAACAAAAATGGGGTCCCACCTCCAGCCAAAAGAGCCGGCGGTGGCTGGCAGCCAAAACCCACGTCAGACTTCGCCGCCGCCGCCAGGAGCTAGGGGACAAGGCAACGCCGGCCGGCACATTTATATATGGTGTACCAGGCAGCCCAGCCCGCCACGTGTACTCTTCTGCCGCAGAGCTAAGCGCGCCCCTCCGCGGCAAGCTGCTCCTACCAGCCACCGCTCCGGGTGCCAATGGCGACTGCAGCGACCTCGACGCCGGCGGCGTGGCAGCCGACGCTGGTCTGCGCGTCACTGACCGTGCGAGTGCCCCGGGAGATGGCAGCGGACGTGGCCGCCGCGGCCGCGCTCGGTGCCGACGTGGCGGAGCTCCAGGTTGGCTGCCTCGACGGCTTCGAGCCGCGCAGGGACCTGCCCGTGCTTCTCGTCCAGCCCCGTCCGCTCCCCGTCATCGTCTCCTACAGGTTCTTGCATCGCATCTTCTTTCCTGAGACACACCTCCTTGGCGCATTCTGTGAGAACTGGCTGGTTTCAGTAGAATTGAATGGGGGGAGATGTTTGTTCTTTGTAAATTTCAGATTGTGTTTCTATTGTACCATCAGAGGAACAATATGTGTTTGCCCAGTTAATCTCGTATGAAAGTAATGTATATTTCTTGGTTTTGGTTGCGCAGGCCGAAATGGGAGGGCGGTCAGTACGCAGGCGAAGATGAACCACGGTTTGAGACGCTTCTACTGGCAATGGAGCTGGGAGCTGAATATGTTGATATCGAGTTCAAGGTTGGCTCCGTCCTCACTCCTTTTAATTTCATTTCAGACTATCACAATTCACAAGACTAGCTCGCAGGGCAAAGAATTTCTCCTTATCCAGTTGATTTCAGAATCATTTTGTGAGGCTTGGTGAATTCATAGCTTTATGTGTGCAGTACTACTGAATTGGATATCTGAGAGTTCGGAGTTGGATTACATTTCGATGCAGTTTGCTTCTTGTGCTTAAATACATGTCTTCAGGACAAGTGAATCTGTTTCCTTTTGGTCACTATACGATGCTGCTCTGCAGGTTGCCGACAAATTTATGATTTTTTGTCAGGGAAGAAACCTCAAAACTGTAAGCTCATCGTTTCAACATACGACTACGAGAGCACTCCATCGGTACATGAACTTCTGAATTTGGTGACTCAGATACAAGCAACAAGGGCTGACATTGTGAAAATTGCAACCACTGCTTCTGTTGACATTGTAGACACATCAGGAATGTTTCAAGTACTTGCACATTGCCAAGTGAGTTTCAGTGTATCCAAGTTTTTTTTTCCATAGCATGCCATCTAGTGCTGACCCTTAGCTTAGGTTTATAAAGATTATGTGTCCTTAAAAATCTGCTTGACTCAGATATGAACTTTTGCTAAATTATCCGTGGCACTCCCAGGTTTGTGCTAATTCTAAAACAATCTAGTGCACTTCCAATCTCCAGCAAGTACGTCGTTGTAAATATAGCTGGTTTGCTGGTGACTAAACACGGATTATAATTGGAGAGCTAGGGGCTAGGCTGCTACACTTTCGGATTTCCTCAGATCCAACGCTCACATTTCAAGACTGCAGTAATGAAATCTCTGACCTGTTATGACTAAGACCAAAAAAGACTATATTTTAGGAGAAACCATTCAGGGAGGCCCCTAGTGTGGTATACATGAATAAGATAAAAAATATGAAGTCATATACAAAATGGACAAATAAAGCCATAAAGGATATACATTTAGCAATTCACATGATGACTGTAGGCCTGTAGCCATTGAACTATTTATTTTCTGAGGGAATATTTCACCCGAGGGAAATTTCTTTTTCAAAGCCTCCTTCCATGAATCATATATATGATGTTAAGATTGCACTAGGGATATGCACAAATGATGGTGTAGTGGTTTCCACACAAAAAGATATTATTCTATGTGTTAGTTTCAATGCTTCATTTTTCAGTTTCTATGATTCCCAGTTCACATTATCTTTTTATTTGAATAATGAGCTAGGAAAAGCAGGTGCCTATCATTGGGCTGGTGATGAAAGAACGGGGTTTTATTTCTCGGATTCTTTGCGCAAAATATGGCGGATACCTTACTTTTGCATCTCTTGAGAAAGGAAAAGAATCTGCCCCCGGGCAGCCGACGGTATCAGACTTGATAAATAAATACAAAATTAGGCAGATAGGCCCAGATACTAAGGTCTTTGGTATTATTGGAAATCCAGTTAGCCATGGTAAAAGCCCAATTGTGGAAAATCAAGCTTTCAGATCAGTGGGTTTCGATGCTGTATTTTTGCCATTTTTGTCAGATGACTTGGTTAAGTTTCTTTCTACCTTCTCAGCACCAGATTATGCTGGCTTCAGGTAAAATCATAATTTGTTGCAATGATTTTTTGCTATATCCTTGTTTACTCAATTTTATAGTCTATCCCCTATGTCTGACCATCCAATACTTTCTTTGATCCAGTTAATTGAACTGTAGTTGCACAATGCCCCATAAGGAAACAGCACTTAGGTGCTGTGACGATGTCGACCCTATTGCCAGGGTAATTTCATTCCCATTTCTTCCCCTATGAATTCTATGAGAAAAATACACACACCAAGAGTAACATTTGTAAGAAGGCCTGATGGAAAACTTGTAGGATACAATACGGACTATTCTGGTGCTATTTCTGCTATTGAGGATGGAATAAGAGGTTTCCACATGCCGCCACTTACAATATTGTATTTTTCTGTTCGTGTAACTGCCTTTTAACCCCATTTGCAGCATCACAGCCAACAGATTCGACCACTTCGCCACTGGCTGGAAGGCTTTTTGTTGTTATTGGGGCTGGTGGTGCAGGGAAAGCACTAGCATATGGTGCAAAAGAGAAGGGAGCAAGAGTTGTGATTGCAAACCGTACATTTGGTATTTACTTCTTCAGGATGATTCTACTCAACAAATTTAAAGCTAAGCATTCACATTAGATATAACTCCTCTATGACTATGACAACTTGTGCATTTGATTTTTAAAATGAGGCCACGATTTGTAAGTCAGGCCTTGCAGACCTTAACCTATTTTGGGTCCAAACTCCAAACTCCAAAGTTAGCGATTATTCCCAGTTTATAGACTAGATGCTTATTCAATGTGCACTTATTAGCCTTTGGAATTTCCATTATGTTCTAGTCATGTTTTCTAGCATTTTATTTGCTCTGAAACTTTTTTTGGCCACCTAATATCCTTTTGTAAGATAAAAATGTGATTGATTGCATTGAGATTTCAAACTTTTCAGCACGAGCTCAAGAACTTGCCAACATAATTGGTGGGACTGCATTGACCCTGTCAGAGTTGGAAAACTACCATCCCAAGGAAGGGATGATTCTTGCAAACGCAACATCTGTGGGGATGCATCCAAATGTCGATGAAATTCCTCTATCTAAGGTCTCAGACTCGCTTGCCTAATTGAACCGTCAACTGTTACCAGTATATTCTGGCTTTTTCTAATTTCGTGTAACAACGTATGATAATCCTGCAGGAAGCACTAAAATCCTATGCCGTTGTCTTTGATGCGGTCTTCGTGCCAAGAGAGACTAGACTTCTCCGAGAAGCTGCAGCGTGTGGAGCCACGGTTATTGACGGCCTGGAGATGCTAATCAGGCTAGTGATGGTTCAGTTTAAGCTTTTCACAGGGGGCATGACAGGTACTTCTCACTCCATTTATCGTTGTCCAGAAAGATAATATTAGTTCATCTTATGAAAAATTCCCAATTAACTCACCCTACAGCTCCAGAAAGGTTGATGCGTGAGGCTATCCTGACAAAGACACATTGAGGTTTGTCCAAATAACAAGGTCTCTGCAGATATCATGGTTTCTGCAAAAATGGTTCCAGTTGTACATATGTCCTCCTTCCTGCTTCTTCGTCGACGTCTGGGAAGCACCGTATTTGATTGATGATTCTTCAACACAAGCGGAGGAGATGCAGGTTTCGGCCTCATCGACGTTTTTCTCCTACTGCCTGCAATGGTGCAGTGTCGTTTTCATCACATCACATTCCTCCAGGGTTTTGGACTCGCCTGTTGTTCAGTAAACAATATGCTCTAGTTGAACAATGTAAAGATGTTTTGGTTTTCAGGTTGATGAATTGGTCATGTTCAATAAGGAATGTGTTTTGGATCGACATTGCTAAGAATTTTTTATCTGTCATATCCACGGGTTGGAGATAAAATTGGTTGGCAACCCAACATGTGCAGACGTGCACCAGTTCCATATTCCCTTCAAGATTTGGATTCAGAGAATCGTTTCCTGAATAAACATTTTTTTTTTTACTTTTGATTTGAGTATAATTTGATCGCGCACTTCGACGGGCGTGCCCATGTGTTCCATGCACCTACAATTCAAACCAATCGTGACGCGCCACGCCGGATTCCGCCGGCCCCACGACGCCAACGAAGCTGCGCCGGCGGCTCCCACATACTCCTACTAGACCATCCAGCCCACCTCCGGCGCCAACCAAACGTGCAGCTAAAACCCCCTATTCCTCCCTTCCTCCTCGCACCAACCCCGACCCTGCTTCCCCCGATGGCGACGGCGATGTCGGTTTCGGCGGTGACCCCGGCCGCCGCGGCGGTCGCGCGGCCGCGGACGATGGTCTGCGTGCCGGCGACGGCGCGGGCGCCACGGGAGATGGCGGAGGAGCTGGCCGCCGCCGCCGCGCTCGGCGCCGACGTGGCGGAGCTCCGCCTCGACTGCCTCGTCGGGTTCGCGCCGCGGAGGGACCTGCCCGTCATCCTCGCCAAACCCCGCCCGCTCCCCGCCCTCGTCACCTACAGGTGGGTTCGTCAGGGCCTGGCCTCCCTTTCTCACGTTTGGTGGGCGCGCGGGGGTTAGGTTCCGCCTTCTCCTCGAAGACAGCTTTTTGGCGCATTCCGATTCCGGATTCGATTGGGGAATCGTAGGCAGTTACAGAGGTTTCAGCTGGTTTAGTTTAGACGTTTAGTGTAATTGAGTGGAGCAAAATGGGGGTTAATTTTGTATCAACATTTCAATTATTGCAGTGTTACTAAGCAGAGTGAGTGTGTTGCTTGATTTTGCTTGCACAGGCCCAAGTGGGAAGGAGGTGAATACGAAGGCGATGACGAATCACGCTTCGAGGCTCTGCTTTTGGCAATGGAGCTGGGCGCTGAATATGTGGATGTTGAGCTTAAGGTTGGCTCCTCCCCTATTTTTCTTTCACTTCATGAAGTCAATAAAAAATTTATTTCTATATTTTACTGCACTATTTTTTTCTTGGTGGCTCAGTGCCGACAAATATAATCTTGTAACTTGGGTGTAGTGCAATTCTAGTTGATTATTAGGTATTTGAGATTTCGATATTCTCATGACTTTCAACCCTATGAGACACAGACACTGATCTGAATCCCTGTCCACAGCTGGTCAGTTGTTAAGCTTGTTTGGTTATCATGTGTCATTAAAAATACTTGTCATTAAAAATAATAGTCTTCTGATAACCAAGTTAGCGTAGGCTAGAGATGAAACCCAACAAGAGCCACTTGAAAAAAAAAAGATAGTAATGATATGAAACAGGTACTAAAATATTAGTAAAAGATGCTCGATATTCATGTACTGATAATGTCAATTAGCCCTGCTATCCTTTAAACCAGTGAGGGTGAGTCTGGAGTTGATCATTACATTGTGTTGTGCTTGTGCAGGTGGCTGACAAATTTATGAAACTTATTTCTGGGAGGAAACCTGATAACTGTAAACTTATAGTTTCATCCCACAACTATGAGAGCACTCCATCATCTGAAGAACTTGCAAATTTGGTGGCTCAGATTCAAGCAACGGGGGCTGATATCGTGAAAATAGCTACAACTGCTACTGAAATTGTTGATGTGGCAAAAATGTTTCAAATACTTGTTCATTGCCAGGTGATTTAGCATCTGACTATTTTTCACTTCTGCATATATGAATTTTGTTCATGGAATTTCAGTTTGCATTTCCTAGGAGTTTAGTCTATCTCACTATTGTTTATTGCTCTGTGACATGCAATTTGCTGCAGATACTTTGTTGTCATATTATAGTGTTGGTTTGTCAACAAATACGTACTGTTCGTAGCCTTCCAGCAATCTGCTACTTTGAGAAAAAACTTCTTAGCTACCATTTTATCAAGTGAGTTGTACTATGATAAAACCATTGTTACTGCTGGCCAATGAACTTGAATTTCAATGGGAACTCTGTATTTAACTTAGCTAAAATTTCAATTTCTACCCTTTGGTGCGAATATCTGATTTATCACCTAAAAAATTAAAGATATCTGCTTGGTGCTTTGTTTCTACTGTAACAGCTGTTAAAAGCAATTGCATATTATGATATCATAATCTTTAGCACAGCAGCACAAGACGATTGGTGAACTTCTTAATTAAGAACACACTTATGATGCACAAATATTGGTTTAGAGCTTTTCTCTTGACAAAGGTTTTGTGCTGTGTGTTGATTTCCATGCTTCATTTCTCAGTTGCCTTTACATAACTCATAGCTCATGTTATCTTGTATCTGAATAATGAATTAGGAAAAGCAGGTGCCAATCATTGGGCTGGTGATGAATGACAGAGGTTTTATTTCTCGGGTTCTTTGCCCAAAATATGGTGGATTCCTTACTTTTGGGTCTCTCAAGAAAGGAAAAGAGTCTGCACCTGCACAGCCAACGGCTGCAGAATTGATAAATCTGTACAATATTAGGCAGATAGGCCCAGACACTAAGGTCTTTGGTATCATTGGGAAGCCAGTTGGTCATAGCAAAAGCCCAATTTTGCATAATGAAGCTTTCAGATCAGTGGGTTTCAACGCTGTGTATGTGCCATTTTTGGTGGATGACTTGGCTAAATTTCTTAATACATACTCTTCACCAGATTTTGCTGGCTTCAGGTAGTTAATTTTTTGGTGAGCCAAATCATATGTTGCAATGATGTTTATTTTAGCCAAATGTACCTCATATCTGATCAGACCTTTTTCTTTTCTTTCTGTCCAATCAACTGGACCACAGTTGCACAATTCCCCACAAAGAAGCTGCTGTTAGGTGCTGTGATGAGGTTGATCCCATTGCCAGGGTAATTTTCTTTTGCTTGTCACATAAAGAATTGCTGAACATTTTAGCACACCTAGGGTTACATTCAAAAGTATGATGCTTTATCCAGGCCATCGGAGCTGTTAACACAATCGTTAGAAGACCTGATGGAAAGCTTGTTGGTTATAATACTGACTATGTTGGAGCTATATCTGCTATCGAGGATGGAATAAGAGGTTTCTACACGTGACTAGTATTGGTAAATTATTGCTGGTCGATGTTGAGTTCTAATTGGCCGATTTGCAGCATCTGAACAAACGGATCCAGACACATCACCACTGGCTGGAAGGCTTTTTGTTGTCATCGGGGCTGGCGGTGCGGGAAAAGCACTGGCATATGGAGCAAAGGAGAAGGGAGCAAGAGTTGTAATCGCAAACCGTACTTTTGGTATGGGACTCTTCTGGACACTTCTGCTTCATCGATGTTTATCATTAATTTGCACATACTTATTGCTGTGTTATGAAAATGTGATTTGTGAAAATGTGATTGAGAAACATGTATACATTGAGAACTGAGTCAACTCTTCCACTTTCCAGCACGTGCACAAGAACTTGCCAACCTAATTGGTGCGCCTGCGTTGACTCTGGCGGATTTGGAAAACTACCATCCAGAGGAAGGGATGATTCTTGCAAATACAACAGCCATTGGAATGCATCCAAATGTGAATGAAACTCCTTTATCTAAGGTCTTAATCTAGGTTACCTGTTTTTCTTTTTCCAATTTTAATCGAGATATTCTGTCTTTTTTCTGCTAGTCTAATGACTAAATATTATCTTGCAGCAAGCACTCAAATCTTATGCTGTTGTGTTTGATGCGGTCTACACACCAAAAGAGACCAGACTTCTCCGAGAAGCTGCAGAATGTGGAGCTACAGTTGTTAGTGGTCTGGAGATGTTTATACGGCAAGCTATGGGTCAGTTTGAGCATTTCACGGGCATGCCAGGTACTTTGATTGGCCTTTTCATATTTCATTTCATTATTAAGCAATTAATAGTAGTTAGTACATCTTACACCATTTCTCACGTGGCTCGCCATACAGCTCCAGATAGCTTGATGCGTGATATTGTTCTGACAAAGACATAGTAAGGTTTGTCCAAAGAGCAAGCTTCCCTTCAATTGTAATTTCTGCACAATTGATTCCAGTTGCGTCCCCTCGTCCTTCCAGCTTCTTCCTCAACCTGTAGAAACCACCCCTTTTTATCTCAGGTGTGGACATAGGTTTCATCTTATGACATTTTTCTTATTACTTACCAAGATTCAGTTCCATGATCTTTGAAAGTTTGAAGTATTTCAGTTCTGTTGTTTATTCAACAAACAATAAACTGTTTTAACATTTTTAAGAGTTGTTCCTCGGTTCCTCCTCTCATCAAGGCTGCAAGCACTGTTAGATCTTTGATTTGTGCAAGAACTGTGACACAATCAATTTGATATATGCTGAGATCAGTTTTATCTGGCCACAGTATGCGCATCCGCTGACTGACCATAATGAATGACAGCTACTTAATAGTTCCTTCTTCCCTTACTTTCAGTGGATGATTACAAATTCCGAGCAATTGCAAGTTCGTTGGACAACCGTAACACCATGAAGCCTCGTCTGTGAGAGATTCATCCATGCCCAAGAATGTCCTTATTTTTTTTTCTTTTTTAGATTTGGATTCTGTGACTAGTTTGCCTCTCAGCCATTGTAAATTAGATGTCCCGAGCTGA